CTTTCTTTCTTTCTTTCTTTCTTTCTCTCTCTCTCTTTCTTTCCCTCCCTCCCTCCCTTCCTCCCTTCCTTCCTTCCTTCCTTCCTTCCTTCCTTCCTTCCTTCCTTTCTTCCCTCTTTCCTTCCTTCCTTCCTTCCTTCCTTCCTTCCTTCCTTCCTTCCTTCCTTCCTCTCTTTCTTTTCTTTCTGTCTCTGTGTCTATTTCTCGTTCTCTCTGCTACATTTCCAAGAGCAGGCACCAGAATAATACATAGCTCATGGTGAAAGAGAATAAGGAATCCCAGTTTCCAATGCCAGGCATGTAATTCTATCAGTAAAAGTAGAAGCCTTGCCTTCAAGTGGAACACACCATTAGGACAGATGCTCTAGTGAGCTCATGCTGGTCAGTGTACAGGTTGCTTACTTGATTTCTCCATTTTACTCTAGCTGTGAGGTTAGGGTTCTAAATGACTTTTTCATAGGCATGTGAAAAGTCCCATGATTCTCTAAAGAAGAAAAGCAATTAAAAGTTGTCTGGTGTGTACACTAATCTTTTTTTTTAATTTGATAAAATGTGTAAAATAAAAATAATATAAGCATAACTTATCATACAAAGGAAATCTCAATATTTATTAGGTACCTGAATATAAAAACCTTGCTCTAGTTAGAGATATTATGATGTCCTTTTTTAATAAATTTAACTAAAAGTGACCATTTAAAATTTTTTGTTTTCATGTGGAAGGACAATTTCTTGCTATATTGTTTAGGCTGCCTCAAACTCACTGTGTAGCCCAAGCTCAATTTTGTAGTCCTGCTCTGACTCCTGAATGCTGAAATTACAGTCACGCAATGCCATGCATTCTAGAAGTACTTTTCAGTGTGGTAAAACAGCGATTAAGATTAAGAGCATAAAGTAAAATTCTGCAAGTTGTTTGTACTTACTGCAAACCAAAAAGACTCACACCCAAATCATTTTCCTATTTAAAATCTTTCTCTTCTTGCTGATCTTTCTATAAGAAGAGGATTCTGTTTGTGTCTTTCAAAGACGTTCATGCACTTTTTCAGTCTCATCTTTGTCTAAACTGAGCAAAATACCACATTGTTCTTGGTTATTGTTCAGTTCTTAGGCTAGTTATTTTACTATCTGTTGTATACCCAGAATCTTGAAAAGCAGGTACTTGGTGGATGAAACTTTGTTAGGAGTGATAGTAGGTTATATTTGCTTTAAAATTTAATATCTAAAACAGGTTTTTGCCTGGGATGTAACTTTTTAATTATCAAGAAGGGGGGAAATCTCACATTGTTTCATTCCAGAATTGGATAGCCTAATAGATGAAGTTGAGCCAATTAATAAGAACGTAGAAATGAGATTTTCAACATACAAGTCAAGAGACTGTTTGGGAAAGTCAACTGGGCAAACAGTTATATGTAGGTACCATGAATGAAGGAGGTTAGTGTAAAGAAAGATATCCCATTTAGACAGTGCAGCCATTGGCTAAATATGTCTATTCAACTCAGTCAGTTCAAATTAGTTTACCTGTTTAGTACTCATCACTAGATGTGGCTGGTTATATGTTGACAGTGCAGTTTTAGTTCTTCTCTATCACCAAGAAAAATAATTGGAACTAAAAATGCCTAAGTGTTGATCCTAGAGAGTAGCCATCAAGTGGCAAGAGCCTAAATGGAAGAAAAGAGCAAACTTTAGTAATGATGTTGAACACCCGAATTACATTTTAGAGTTAGGTGTAGACAAAAATAACACCCAGAAGAATTTGCTTTTTGTTAAAGGTCCATTAAGCTACATGAATTTTATTTAAGTATGTATTTAGGAATATGCATGTATATATGCACATATGTATGTAACAACAAAGAAAAAGAAGGTTTGAATTTGAAAGCACAGGGATGGAGTCTATAGGAGGATTTGGAGCGAGAAAAGGAGGAAATGATAGAATTATATTATAGTCTTAGGAGAGGATGTACTAAGTCTTGTTGCAACCCAGTGAGCTGGGATGAGTTTGTAAGGTAGGGAAGGGTTCCTTTTTTCTGAGAAGGCGAAAGATGGAGGGGCCTGGGAGGTGGGACCTACCAGGAGAGGTGGGATGGACCTGTGATGGGATGTAAAATTAATACATATATAAAAAAATAAAATTTGAAATATAATAATAATAATAATAATATAAAAATAAACTCAGTTCTGGTAAATCAAAAATGCCATTAGTTGTAATTTGTTCTTCAGTTATCTTGAATAAGAGATTTTCTTAAAAAAGAAAAAGAATGACACAATCAAACTGGTATTTCTATTCCATTGTATTTCCTGTTAATATAGTTAGTCATTGCAAGCAGAGAAAAGCCTGCTGAGATGAGTTTGTGGGTTAGGGTAGAGAAAACATAGTTCACCAGAGTTCATGTGTGTTGGCCATAATAAGAGTGTCAACTCTCTGCACTGTGTGTGACTGCATGTCTTTGCCATCTAAGATGTGAAAATATGCACCTCAGAGGTCATGCTCCTATTCTTACAGTACTGGGCAAATTTCAGTGTCTTCTTTATGCATTAGGCAAAGAGAGTAACAGATATAGAGCTCTTTTTCAAACTGAGCCCAAAAGAATTTCTTTATCATCTTAAATTTCATTGCAAGTATAAAACAACAAAAGCATGTATAGGGATACAATTCCAAATCTATGAACTGATGTTAATGGCTTATAATAAGCATTGAGCCATTTTGGTTAAACAATTAAAATAGCACAACTTATTAGTACTTGGGCAAAGTATTAAGCCAAAGTGTAAGCCAATGTTACAGCCACTAATTTGAAGTTAGCAGACATTTTAAATACAGGTTTCTTTTACAGAGATAAAAGTTCCAATTTAAAACTCTTTGGTGTCTAAAAACAGCTTAATTCTGTAGTAGCATTGTAATAAGTACAAATCCAGCTTATACAATGATTGTAATATTTCATGTTTATGAACGATTGCCCAACTGCTTTCTCTGGGCTTTATGTTAATTTAAAAATATTAAGCATAAAACCTTATAAGATCTTCCTGCTGAGATAACTGTTCAATTTCACTTGTGCTCAAGCAGTAGCTGTCAGAAATTATCTTGTTCCAAGTGGCTTTTGTTGTAACCTTATGGCCTTTCCTGCCAGAGCCCCACTGTGGGATGATAAAGTACATCTTATGAAGCTTTATTGCTTAAATGGTACCTGAGGCAAGATGAGCCTTGGCAGCTGAGGGTTAGCTTCTGACTGAGTGATGCCTTTTGTTGTTTGATGATCAACTTTTAAACATTGTAGTGGATTATAGCTATGGCATTCTTTTTGTGGGCATTTTTGTTACTTGTGGTTGTGGAGCTAAAGATTCAAGAAATTGCCTGTTGCATTTAGCACTTTACCAGTGGAAAAACAAAGAGAAACCCTTAACTAGTGATCGAGATAAAGGAATGCTGTTTCAACATTTGTTATGAGATATAATTAATTTCCTAATGATCACACACACTAAAGGAAATGTTGGTTTTGCAATGTCAAATTGTTAAGACTTAAAATCGTTGACATTTTTCTCCTGGGTATAGTGATCCATGCTGAGGAAAATCTTCCTATATCAAAGCAACAGTTGGATTATGGCTGGAAAAAATAGATGATAGGCTTGTTACTTATGGAATGTTAAATGAATTTTTCTTTTACTTAATAATATTCCTCCAATATTAGTGAATAGCACACACCTAATTCAGCCAAACTGGGTTCCTGTTTATGCAATATATACTTAGTAATAACCATTACTTTTGGTGAAAGGCTCGTGCTGAAGATTATATAAACACCTGAAGCTAACTATTTGGCTAGTCAGCAAGGCAGGGACTTTATAGTAGTGGTAATCATTTGAACAACACGGGTGGTATTTCCTATTTAAGTCTAGACAAACAAAGGTATTTGCATGGTATGTTACTAGCAATCTCATAATTGGCACAATAAAAATGTTCCAGCTGTTTCTGCTTTGGCACTGATTACTAGTGTGATTGTAAGAAAACTCAGTTTTTTGCACCTCAACTTTTTAAAATTAAGCTAGAACGGTTATCTAAATGTTCTCACCTGTCCATGTGCTATCTCTCTCTCCCCCTCTCTCTCTTTTTTTGTCTTTATGTGTGCTAGGGATCTCAGTGAGACATTTTTAGGCTCTCTAAATCTCCTATTATTTTATTTTGTGTTTGTGCCTTTAATGTTATGTATATGACTCCATGAGAAGCATTATTCATCTTCCTGGGTGATCTTGATCAATGTTTTTGTTCTTCTCAGCTTGCCATTATCATACAATAGACATTTAAGTAAATGTAGAGTAAGAACAAATGAATATTTTGATTTATTTATAAGCATGGATAAATAAACTTCCAGGTTTTTTTTTTTTTACACTCAACTTCTTATAATTTTTTAAAAATTTTATATAAGGAGTTTTATAAATCTAGTGTCAGCAGTCAATAATAGAGGAAAAATTAGTCTAAGTATTGTAGGATATTTTAACATGGGCATTGAAAATAACATGCCAAAGAAAAGACCATAATAAATAAATAAGTCAAAAAGGGTTTTTTCAAAGCATCAACATGTACCAGTCCTGCTTGTTTATTGGATTTCAGCAGTTGGTTGCAGAAAAAAGGCAAATGCAGTGCAACTGGCAGGCAAAATATTCCCCAACCAATCTTATCTCTGTTCCTTTTGTCCTTCAGATAGAACCTATCTTGCCTTTTTCAATAAAATCCAGCCAGTTTTTTTCCGTTTTTTTTTTTTTTCTTTCTTTCTCTTCTTCCTGTCCCTCAGAAATTGAGCTGAGCTGAGAACAATGAAATCAGGACTTTTATAGTTCTTAGCAGTTGCTTTTTGAAAGATCAGAACTGAGACTGCGTCTGCATGATACTATATGGCAAGTATTCGTATGTCCCTGTAGGGATATATGTTTCTTAGGGTGGGAAGGAGGAGGAGAGAAGAAGGCAAAGGGTAGCCCTTCAAGCATGCTTAGAACAGTAAACTTTACTTCTTTCCTAGGACCCTCTTTGCAAGCTCAGTACTTAACCTGACTGAACTGGCTGCCCTTCGTCCTGATCTGGGAAAATTGAAAAAGATCTTGTACTTCCATGAAAACCAGTTGGTTTATCCTGTCAAGAAATATCAGGAGAGAGATTTTCAATATGGATACAACCAAATTCTCTCATGGTAGGTATGGATTGTTTAAAATTTGGTTTTTACAATTTTTTTTTTTTTTTTTTTTCCTTTTTTTTCCCCTGAGGGCTGGGATTATAGGCCTGAGCTAACACACCTAGCTTTTGCCATCTTTTATACCTTTTCTCAGGACAGATTTTAGGGATGGGGGATGTGTGCACACAGGCCTGAAGAAGGTAGTGGGTGCCTTCTGTCATTCCCTTCCTGTTGCTTTGAGACAAAGTCTCTCCCTAAATCTGAGGCTCCTCTTTTTCTCTGCTAGACTTAAAATCAGCAAGTCTCATCTTTATATCTTTGACTTTCTAGGAACTGGGATTACAGGCAGGTCCAAATTTGGGTCCTCATGATTTTGAAGCAAATTCTTTTTACTGATGAGCTGTCTTTCCAGTCCCCATCTTTTCCTTTTTAAATGATTAGTTTGTAAATCTGGAGATCATTATAAATTTATGAGCATATTAAGGCGGTAAAGGTGTTCAAAGATTCTTTCCATAATATTTTTTCTATTTCTGCAAGATTTATAGTATCACTGCTATTCTGTTTTTTAAACATAATAATTTTATTGAATATTTGGGAATTTTTACATAATGCACCCGGATCTCCTTTACTTTCCATTCCCCCCCAGGTCTGCGCCTCTACCAAAAAAAACCAAAAAATTCAAATTGTGTTGTCCATATACTCACTAGAGCATGGTCAAGCTCGTAATGGCCAGCCTCGTAAAGAAAAGTGAGTTCTTTTCCAGCCATCTATTGTGGAGAGCCAAACTTTAGCATCCTTATCACAGTTTTTTTTTTCCCCAACATAATATATTTATTGATTCCTTTGGTATTTTTACATCATATACCCCTATTACATCTTCTTCCAAGTCCTTCCCTGTCCTCCACTCCACTTCACCCCATCTCTCCGTCCTTACCTCCTTCTCACCCTTGTGATCTCCTTCCAGCCTCCTCCCACCAAAAATCCAATTTGTGTTATCTGTTTATTTACTGGAGCGTGGTCAGACTCTCGGTAGCCTGCCCCAAATAGAGCTGAGTCCTTATCTACCTTTATTCCTGCTAGAAGCCATCTCTTCTGGAGAGCAACACTTCAGCAACCTATTATACTTTTTAAGATCTTTCTAAGATGACATCCTGTTGAGTCTGTTACTATTTTTTCTGGGGGAGGTTAGGATTGACATAGGAGCTTTCACAGAAGCCTTTCATGTCTTTCTTTCTCAACTGCATGTCTGCTGTCATTGATATCTCTGCCAAAGTAGCTTATTTGCTTTTCATGGTCTATGGGAGTATGAATGTCTTCTACATGGTTTCTGACATCAGCATCCCAGCTGCATCAGAAGGTCTTGTCTGAGAATGTGGCCTGACTGCAACTGGGATTATATTATTTTGACATGTATTCAGGCTGCAGCATAGATCAAGCCTTTGGTGGGCCATAAACATTAACACAGATCATAGACCCGGATATCACTGTGGACTTAGGGTTAGAGCAGGCCTTCAGATAAGTATGGTCCTCAGTGGCAGCACAGCCCATGGCTTCAAGATGTAGCCCAGAGCACAGTCATCCATATGAAATACCATGACCATGGCAATTCTTATACAAGAAAATATCTAACTGGGAATGGCTTACAGTTTCAGAGGTTTAGTCCAGTATCATCATGGTGGCAAGCATAGCAGCATGCAGGCAGACATGTTGCTGGAGGAGCTGAGTGTTATACATCTTGTTCCACAAAAGGGAATTATGTCTGGACATAACTTGAGCATAGCAGACCTCAAAACACACCTCCACAGTGACTCTTCTTCCAATAATGCCATACCTAATTCCAACAAGGTCATACCTCCTAATCATGCCAACTCCCTTCAGCCAAACATTCAAACAAATGTGTTTATGGGGCTATACTTATCCAAACCACCACACATGGGCCAAGGACATCAACACAGTAAGCTGCAGTAACACCACTGACCCAGCATCGGCCAGGGCATCACCATGGCCCCAGTTGGCAGTACAAGCCATGCACATTGATTTGCCCTCTGGTAACAGCCTTGCCCATGGACATGGTTTCAGGGTGTGGGACAGAGTACGGACATTTGTATGACCTTTGGTGGTGATACAGACCACAGACATTAGCACAGACCTGGCCCCAGTAAGACCATGGACCTAGACATGGCCTTCTGTAGCAGCAGTGCCAGGGCCATCACCATGGCCTCAGCTGAGATAGCACATGCCACTAAGAGCTTTATTGCCCCCAGTGTCTGCACAGCCCACAAATGTCACCATGGATTTAGGCAGCAGCAAAGGCTACGGACCTCTACTTGGCCTTCAGTGGTTTCAGGGGCCACTGACATCAACTTAGACCCTCACTGTAGTAGGGCTTCAGACTTAGACTTGACCCTCAGCAGAAGCCCAGACATGGACTCCACCATGATCTCAGATAGCATTACAAGATATTCCCATTAATATGGTTCCAGGGGCAGCATGGCCCATAGACATCCATATGCATTCAGGCTGTAAACTTCTGCATGTCCTTAGGTGATGACACAATCCTTGGATATCCACCCAGATCCTGGCCACATCAGGGCTACTGACCCACATGTGGCCCTCAGCAGTATCATGGGACACAGTGGTCCATCGAGGAGGTCCAGTCTAGAAGGTGGACCATTCCTCATCTTGGACCTATATTATTGTGTAGAGCTAAGGTGATCCCACAGCTAGCAGCTTGTGTAGTATCTGAGTCTGCCTCTGCTTAAGCTCCAGGCTGCTGTACATGATCCTGTTGACCCCACTGAACAATGACATGATCTGTGTTAAACTTCAGCCCCTTCAGCCATCACTGCTATCATGTTACCAGTTCATGCTCAGTTCTGCTCCTCCATCACTCCTATCTCTGTTTCCTGGTCCCTCATCTCTACAGTCAGGGTCCCCTTTGTGGCCCCTCTGTCACAATTCTTAAGAGTTTTTTTGACGGCTTCCAGTCTAGGTTATTACCTTTGGGGGGTGAGGTGGAGTTATCATGGAAGTTTTCTGTCTCTTCCTCAGCTATGAGTCAGCACTCATGATTACACTTCAGGAGACCCTTCCTTTTACTTTACAGTCAGCAGCACGGATCATGAACTTTCATGTGGTATGTGGTGCCAGCACAGACTGTGGACATGTACCTGGTCTAAGGAGTCAGTACGTGTGTGCCACAGACTTCCACATGGTCTCCCATAGGAGTGCGGGTCACAGACAACAGCATACTTTAAAGCAGCACCATAGACCACAGACATCCGAATGGTCTTCAGTGGTAACACAGGCCACACACATCAATGTGGCCACTGTTTTTCTTTTTACGAAATAAGATGTATATGTACATAGACCAATCATCTAATTATATGTTGAACCGGTTATTTTACTGATTTGCATAACAAAATAAAATAAAAATTATTGACAAGGATTTTTATCCTCTACCCCCCACATTACTTTTAAGTTGTAGAAAAGCCAGCAAGTTCTTTCATCAGGTACTTTTCACTTTCACTGTATTTAGCAAAAATTTAATAGAGAAACTAAAATTCAGTAGATTAAGTGACTTTGAAGCTCCTGATTTTGGGTTGTTTCCTTTATTTTTGTTTATTTTGTTGCTTCCAAGATAAAAACTAGACAATGGAATGTGAATGTTTCAGTGTTTCTCACTCTTCTGCACTGGATCTTCTGGAATGACAGCCTAAAAGTACCTGCTGCTTCAGAGGTGAACAGTACAGCATTTTCTTCTGGTGCTTACTGAAAGAGTACATAACAACCCCACACCAGCTCTGCTGTGGAACCCTGTCACGTCATTGCCGGGACCCGTGAAATTAAGGTGGACGTAATCAGACACACTTCACACCTTTATTCGTACTTACTAGCTACATACACTGATAATGTGTTTGAGAAGACCTTGTCAGTCTGTTCCCTGGTTTGGTTGACAGAAGAAAAGCTATATGGTAGTAATTTTGTTTTGAGCATTTGTAGCTGTTCTCCTGCAGTCTTTTTATAAGCTGCTTCAATTGAGGGAGCACTGCTATCAAAACTGGACAACTGCAGTCAGATGTCTCCTAAAAAGCTACCATTTAAAATTTTTATAACAAAATTAAAATACTTCATTTCATCTTGAAATGGCAACAGGAAAATATGTTTTCAAAATGAAAATGAGGGGCTGGAGAGATGGCTCAGTTGTTGAGGGCACTGGCTGATTTTCTAGAAGACCTGGATTCAATTCTCAGCACCCACATGGCAGCTCCTGCCTGTAAGTAACTCAAGTTCCAGGGCTTCTGACAACCTCAAACAGACATATATGTTGGCAAAGCAGCAATAAACATAAAATTAAAAATAAATTATATATTTAAAACAAAAAAATAAATTTGTCTTCTACTTTATCAATATGTAAAACATTGGTCATGTTTTTGTGGTTCTTGATCTAGTACCATTTTCTTTTTCAGACACTATTGTTTTATTACCTTGAGAAATCATGAGGGAGGAATTAAGTATTTTCTTTATGGGTAGTCTTAAAGTTAAAGGAAGTTACACCTACTCATATCAGGGAGAAAATAAGTGAAAAAGTATATTTCTGTAGACCAATGTGAATCTTTAGCAACATAGACTAAATGAATTTTAACAACATATTTTAATGAATTAGCAGTAGTTAGGTTGTATGCCTGTTGTGAGCAGATATTAAATAAAAATATCGGCTCACTACTGATAGTTTTCTTTTCTTCATAAAGAGGAAGACTGAAAACTTGCCTATGACTCTTTCAGAATTTCTGCTTTCGAAGGGGATAAGCTAATAGACAAGCTTAGAGAGAAATAACTGGACTACATCATCATTTGGCTTTGTAATAGGAAAAAAAAATGTTTCACAGTTGTTCAGAGGAAAAATAAGAGTGTCAGAAAGCAGTTCTGTTCCAGTTTCTTTGAAAAGTATGGCTGCTTTTTCCAATGCTTCTTTTGTGTTCCTGCTGACTTTTGCTTTCATTGGCACTGTTGGATTTCTTTCTGGACTGTGTGACAGTTAAGGATTTTTAAAGATGACTGACATAATCGGTCACCTTAAGCAGAGGTTTCCCTAACCCTCCAACTTATACGTGCATGCCATAACTATATGTTATGACCTGTTGCTCACTATTCCAATATATGACATATGGTGCAAATGGACTAGCTGTAAAACATTCTTCAACTTTTAATAGTTTATTGTATTTGCTTCCTTGTTTCTTAGTTTTGTGTCAGCACTTTTATGACATTTCTTTGTATTATCCATGTTGTTGTTGTCTCTTTTCTCTGAATTTTCACCAGGTAGGACTTGGAAAAAAAAAATCCATGCAATATCAGTTTTAGAGGGAAAGGAAAGGAATGGCAAGTCAGTGAGCCTTTGGTTGTATTTTTTGTTTGTTTGTTTTGTTTTGTTTTTTCTTTCTTCTGTGGACTAATAATAGGAAACTTTTCTGCCTCAGTAAATATGTATTAAACTATGCCATGAATTAGCTGTGGCGTTCATGTTTTATCTTTAAGCTTTACTTGTTAAGATGCATTTTATAGTCCTGTGGACATGTATGCTTTTTTCAGTCTTGCTGATGTAATTTTAAAATAAAATAAAGCTAACTGTTTTGTCATGTTTATCTTCTCATGGAATTGTCCAGCGATGCTGAATTATCGCTTGACAAGTAAGATTTTCTAGTTTCTTTTCTGTTGCTGTGATAAGCACCATGACCAAAAACAACTTGTGGAGAAAAGGATTTATCTCTTTTTACAGCTCACAGTCCATCATTGCAGTGAATTCAGGTAAAGACCTCCAACTTGAAGTACAAACAGAGAACCACTGCTCACTAGCTTGCCCCCAGGCCCCATTTTACACAGCCCAGGCCCACTTGCATCGGGATGACACCACCCATAGTGGGCTACCTCTTCCCAAGATTTATTAGTAGTCAAAACAAAATGCCACACAAATAATGTGCAGAGCCAGTCTTAACAAAACAGTTCTTCAATTCAAGTTCTTTCTTTCTGGGTGTGTCAAGTTGACAACCAAGATAAGACATCATAGACATTTTCCACCCTGCACAAAAGTAAAGTCCAAGTGGATCAAAGAACTCAACCTAAAATCAGACAAACTAAATCTGTTAAAAGAAAAAGTGGGGAAGTGCCTTGACCTCATTGGCACAGGAGACAACTTCCTTAACCAACAGCACAGGCTCTAAGACCAACAGTCAGTAAATGGGACCTCATGAAATTGAAAAGTTTCTGTAAAACAAAGGGCACTGTCATCAGAACAAAACAACAGTTTAGAGACTGGGAAAGGATCTTCACCAACCCTATATCTGACAGGGCTAATATTCAGAATATGTAAAGAACTGAAGAAGTTGAAAATCAAGTAATCCAATTAAAAAAATCGGGCACAGAGCTGAACAGAGAATTCTCTGTAGAGGAACATAGAATGGCAGAGAAACACTTCTAGAAATGCTCACTGTCCTTAGTCATCAGGGAAATGAAAATCAAAACGACCCTGAGATTTCACCTTACACCCAACAGAATGGCTAAGATCAAAAACTCAAGTGACAACACATGCTGGAGAGAATGTGTAGAAAGGGGAACCCTCCTTCATTGCTGGTGGGAATGTAAACTTATACAACCACTTTGGAAATCAATCTGGTGCTTTCTTAGAAAATTTGGAATAGTGCTTCCCCAAGATCCAGCTATACCACTCCTAGGCATATGCTCCCAACTATGGTCGAGTATACAACAAGGACATTTGCTCAACCATGTTTGTAGCAGCTTTATTTGTAATAGCCAGAACCTGGAAATAACCCAGATGCCCCTCAGTTGAGGAATGGATACAGAAATTATGGTACTTTTACACAAGGAATATTACTCAGCAATAAATAAGGAAATCATGAAATTTGCAGGCAAATGGTGGGACCTACAAATGATCATCCTGAGTGAGGTATCCCAAAAGCAGAAAGTCACACAGGATATATACTCACTCATAAGTGGATATTAGACATATAATATAGGACAAATATACTAAAATATGTACACCTAAAGAAACTAATCAAGAAGGAGGACTCTGGCTAAGATGCTCAATCCCCATTCAGAAAGGCAAAGAGGATGGACATCAGAAGAGGGAGAAAGCAGAGAACAGGACAGGAGCCTCCCACAGAGGGCCTATGAAAGGCTCTACCCTGCAGGCTGTCAGAGCAGATGCTGAGACTCATAGCCAAACTTTAGGCAGAGTGCAGGGAATCTTATGAAAGAATGGGGAGATAATAAGACCTGGAGAAGACAGGAGCTCCACAAGGAGAGCAATAGAACCAAAAAATCTGGGCACAGGGGTCTTTTCTGAGACTGATACTCCAACCAAGGACCATACATGGAGACAACTTAGAACCTCTGCCAGATGTAGCCCATGGCAGCTCATTGTCTAAGTGGGTTCCATAGTAATGGGAACAGGGACTGTCTCTGACATGAACTGATTGGCCTGTTCTTTGATTACCTCCCCCTGAGGGAGGAGCAGCCTTATCAGGCCACAGAGAAAGTCAGTGCAGCCACTCCTGATGGCACCTGATAGACTAGGATCAGATGGAAGTGGACTTGGGGAAGGATATGGGTTGAGAAAGGGGAGGGAAAGTGGGATTGGGAGGGGAGGAGGGAAGGGAGCTACAGGGGTGATGCAAAGTGAATAAACTGTAATTAATAAAAATAACAAAAAAAGGAATACTGCTTCCTCAAGATCCAGCTATATGACTCCTGGGAATATATCCAAAATATGCTCAAGTACACAATAAGGAATTTGCTCAACCATGTTCATAGTAGCTTTATTTGTTATAGATAGAACCTGGAAACAGCCCAGATGACCCTCAACTGAGGAATGGTGTACAGAAATTGTGGTACATTTGCACAGTGGATTACTACTCAGCAATTAAAAACTAGGAAATCATGAAATTTTCAAGCAAATAGTGGGATCTAGAAAAGATCATCCTGAGTGAGGTATCCCAGAAGCAGAAAGACACACACATATATACTCACTTATAAATGGATAGTAGACATATAATAGAGGATAAACATTCTAAAATCTGTCCCCCTAAAGAAGCTAAGCAAGAAGGAGGACTCTGGGTAAGATGATCAATCCTCATTCAGAAAGGCAAATAGTAGGGACATCAGAAGACAGAGAAAACAGGAAACAGAACAACAGACTACCACAGAGGGCCTCTGAAAGACTACCTAGCAGGGTATCAAAGCAGATGCTGGGGCTATTAACCAAACTTTGGGCAGAGTGCAGAGAATCTTTGAAAGAACGGGAGATATAAAGACCTAGAGGGGACAGGAATTCCACGAGGAGAGCAGCAGAGCCAAAATATCTGAGCTCAGGGTTCTTTTCTGAGACTGATACTCCAACCAAGGACCATGCATGGAGTTAATCTAGAACCCATGTCAGCTCAGTCTCCAAGTGGGTGTCCTAGTAAGGGGAACAGGCACTGTCTCTGACATGAACTCAGTGCCTGGCTCTTTGATCAAATCCCCCTGAGAGAGCAGCAGCTGTACCAGGCTGCAGAGGAAGACAATGCAGCCAGTCCTGATGAGACCTGATAGGCTAGGGTCAGATGGAAGAGGAGAAGGACCTCCCCTATTAGTTGACTTGTAGAGGGTGAGGGAAGAGATGAGGGAAGGAGGGTGGGAGTGGGAGGGAATGAGGTAGGGTGCTATAGCTGGGATACAAAGTGAATAAACTGAAATTAATATTAAAAAAATTAAAATTTCTTAAAAACTTGAAAGAAAAAAAAAGGTGGCAAATCTGTTCATGTCCAATGCAGTCCCTACTTCCCTTACTAGAGGACCCACATGAGGCCTAAGCTGCCCATCTGCTACATCCTTGTTGGGGGCCTAAGTTCAGTTTGTAGATGGTCCTTGGTTGATGCTTCGTTCTCAGCAATCCCCTCCAGGTCCTGGTTTGTTGCCTCTGTCTTCTTATGGAGCTCCTGTCACCTCCAGTTTCTTTTCTCTTTCCTCTCACTTTCATACAAGACTCCCTAAGTATTGCTCAGTATTTGGCTGTGAGTCTCAGCATCTGTTTTGAGACACTGATGCGTAGCACCTCTCAGTGGATAACTCTCTCAGGCTTCTGTCCCAGGTTAGCAGAATATCGCTCTTAGTGTCAGGGTTGGCAGTCTCCTATATGGAGGATCTTGGATTTTGCATTCCTCTATCTCTGTTCTGTCTGCTCTATAATAAAGAGAGAAAGACAGTTTGTCAAAATCCATCATCAGTATTACATTTCTTTTGTTCATTTCTAAAGATCAACAATTGTGGTTGTCTTTCTATTCTTTTTATATAATAAATCATTTAGGTTTTCTACTTCCATGACTGTCGTAACATGCATAATAGTGAAATAATTTAGCATCACCCCATGTAGTACCAGAATTTTTAAAACAATAAAATTTCTTCAAACCAAATCTAAAATATGAAATGGACTTCAACTGAATAGCATTAAAGGCACTATGCCTTCATACGAAAAGCCTCATATAAGCTTGTTTCCTCAGAGATGGTGAGGAAGCCATAAACTTCTGTTCTCTGTAGTAGAGTACACAAATGGTTGGGCTTGCTGTGCTTGGTACTGAAAGTTCATGTGGAACATTTATGGCATTTAGGGAAGAAGGCATTAGTTTGAAGTCTTACGTGATTTTATTCAATTATCCAATTTCTCCCTGGCCAGTCTTCCTTGAAGCCACCAACTCAACCTTTTATGACATATACTAAGAACTAGTATTTCTGTTAGATGCGGTTTCATACATATTAATATAAAGTACTTATGGTACTGAGGTACACCATAAATTCTAATTAGTTGTAAAATAAATCATAATGAATCTTTTTTTTTTTTTTTTTTTTTTACAGTTTGGTGGCTGATGTGGTGGTATTCAATTCCAATTTTAATATGGAATCATTTCTTACTTCCATTGGAAAATTTCTGAAGCTCATTCCTGATCACAGACCTGAGGATCTGGAAAGCGTTATCAGACCCAAGTGTCAAGTTATTTATTTTCCCATCAGGTTTCCTGATGTGAGCAGGTCAGTGTGTTTGGCTGTGTTTTTTGATGTTTTATCATATATCAGGTGTATAAAAACTGATATTCTTTTTGCCAACTTTGCCTTTTCAGTATAAGTGTAATTAATTAATTAGTTCTCCTCTCCCTATAATGTGATTTACAGAAATTGTTGATGATCATGTATCCACTCTGTTAGTGAGTCAGTCCAGAGACTGAATTTTTTTCTTTCTTTGCTCTTAGTTGTTTACTGAAGTAGAGCACTTTGGGTTGTAACACTTAACTGGTTTTTGTTTTGGTTGTTATGTTGTAGAAGTAATTGTCAAGCATATTTCTCAACCAATTCAGTGTAGGTCCACTATTTGTTATGCATAACAGTTACTCCTTTAAGTAAATCAGTGTTAAATCTCATTTCCTGAATGATTTTAATTTCCTATTCCAGTTCCTTAGACTTCTTCATTTTCACAGTTCATGTTATCGTACAAAAAAAATGACCTAAGCCTTCCACATTGGGCTGCAGATTCACTGTTATTTGCTTTCTGATACTTGGGGCACTTTTACAACCCTTGTTATGAGGCTCACTTTGAATTAGTGAATGATGCCATGCTAAGGGAACATTCTGGAGTTCCTTTTCACTTTCTATGAAACTTAGAAAAAAAACTGTATTTATTACTACTACTAAGAGTGTTTCTTCTTAGTAGTGAATAGAAAGTTTTCTTCAATGGGACGTAAGAGCAGCTCAGGATTCTGCTGTTGTAATTTTATAAGACATGTAAGAATTGCTCAGTCTCTATAATAGTACTCGTTATATATGTTTTTGGGGCTGAGCATTTATGAATGGATAGCCACTTGTGTTCTTTTCTGGGGAAGACTAATTCTCCCACTGTCAGTCAGCATTCCTTAGTTGTTGTAGTGCTTGTAGTGTTGAGGCTTCATGCACTTTCTCCCATTCACTTTGGCATGTCTGTTGTTGTCCTTGTTCAGCTCATATTTATATGTATATATATATATATATATGTATGTGTGTGTATGTGTGTGTATGTATAATAATAATAATAATAATAATAATAATAATAATAATAATAAAGAGGCCATGAATTTGAAAGAGAGTGAAAAGTATTATATAGGATGGTTTGAAGGAAGGAAAAGGAAGAGAGGAAAGATGTGATTATTTTATAATCTCAAAAATAAAAGAAAAACTTTTAAAAAGGAGATCAGTTTTTCTGCTCTATTTCTGAAATGAATTAATATCCATAATAGATCTTGTGCACTTCTCAGTTGACCCAGATTTTGATGTAGGGTAATAATCTCTATCTATTTTTTAAATGTTATTTTTAAAAATGCTTCTATATACTATATTTTGATCCTTCCTCCTATTCCTCACAGATCTGAAATTTTATGGTTTCTCTCTGTCTTTTCTCAATAAAAATTAAAGTGAAAAGAAAACAAAATCCAACAAGAATGAATAAATAAATCAATAATTAAATACCCAAATAAAACAAAACACATGCAATACACGTGGAGCCCACGGAGTATGGTTCATATAGTCAGTGTCATTGGAGAAAATGCATTTTCCCATTTCTAGCATGTTATCAGTTAAAAATAGCTATTTGATATAAGGGTTAGGACTTTGTGTCCACTCTCCTTTTACTTGCTGGGATTTTATCCTGGTTTGAACTTGTGTGCTGTCACAATACCCCGATTCCATATGTGTATCAATTATGGTGTGCCTGGAAGATGCTGTTTCTTTGAAGTCATTTACCCCCTCTGCTTCTTACAATTTCTTTCTCTTTTTCCATAGATTCCTGATTTGTGAGGGGAGGGTTTGATATAGACATTCCATTTAGGTCTGAGTGCTTCGAAGCCTGTCACTCTGTACATTGTCTAGTTGTGGGTCTCTGTGATAATTACCATCTACTGTAAGAAGTAGATTCTGTGATGGGGGCTGATCTGTGGGGGTCATTTTATTACTATGTTCCTTCAGTAGCATAGTAGGTTTTACTCTAGGGTCCTTGACCTATCTAGCTTCTGATTCTTGGCCCCTTAAATCAAACAAAAATTTGTTGGTTACAGCTAGGGGTTACAGGGTTTGTAGGTAGGTTATATTGATGATTACTTTTCTTCTCTTTTACCATGAAAAATACCTTTTCGCATGATGAATGCCAGTTAGTGTGGTGAAACTTCTAGTTGAGCACCTGCTTGGTTTTTATTGTTTTTGTTTTTGTTTGTTTTTGTTTTTAATGTTTTATGGTACAAGTAAACTGTCTCTTCCGCAATAGGACCACCTTACCATCAGGTTGTAGAAGGTTTCCAAAAGCTTGCAGGTTTTTGTTGTTGTTGTTGTTGTTGTTGTTTTTGCTTGTTGGCTTGATTCTTGTTTGTTTGTTTTGTACCTGGGCATGCATGTGAAGGTAGTGTGGTGAATGGGTGGTCCATTCTCACCATTGGAGGTTTTGTTTGGTGGCATAAGATGTCTTACTGGGGCATTGTCTTTCTTCTATATTGTGAGTCCATTTAATTTTTTACATATATGTGAATATTTTAGGAAGTTTGCACAGTGGCCGACTTACATATGCTTAAGTTGTCTCTCACTTGTGTTTCCTCCTTTACCCTGTCCTTCTACCCTTCCCATTAATCCTATTTCAGTTTCCCTTTTATCTCTTTATAATACTGTATTATATTTTTCCTTTCTAGCTCCTCTGATTTACTTTCAAATTTCATAGTTTCATTTTTCTTAACTTCTAAATAATATTGCATTGTGTAAATGTACAACATTTTCATTATTCATTCATCTGTTGTTGGAAATTTAGTCTGGTCTCAGTTTCTGGCTATTTTGAATACAGCAGAAATAAACATGGATGAGCAATACCTCTGAAATAAGCTGTAGTTTATTGGTTATGTCCATAGTAGTATAGCTTTTTAAGGACCCTTTACACTTATTTCCATATTGACTATACCAATTCACATTTCCATTAAAAATTAATTAATAGTCCCTTCCCTGTATTCTTGCTAACATGGTGACATTTATCTAACTAATCGTGGACATTCTGGCTAGGGTAAAATGAAACCTCAAAGTATTTTTTTTTTCTTTTTTCTTTTCTTTTTTATAATTTCTTACTTCCTCTTGGGAATAGTTATACCCTTCTCTTCAAACTGAAGTTTTCCTTCTAGTGCTTTCTATAGAGCTGGCTTAGTGGACAGAAATTGTTTCTATTTTGCATAATAATTTATCAAGTATTCATTTTAGTTTTTCTTTTCATATAAGTTACAATTATGTACTGGATTCATCTGGCCCTAGGCTTTTGTTTATTTCTTTGTTTTCAATGGTTTCTTAGAATATTTTTAATGAATATTTCTATTTCTCTAGGAGTTATGAGTCTGTTTAAATTGTTCATTTAATCTAGATTTAACTTGGGTAGATCATATATGTCAAGAAATTTGTTCATTTCTTTTAGGTTTTCCAGTTTGGAAATACAGATTTTAACGTATGTCCTTATGATTCTCTGAATTTCTCCTATGGCTGGTATAATGTTCCCCTTTTATCTCTAATGTTATTGACTTGTATTTTTTGTCTTTTGATTATTTTGTCTAAAGGTTTGTCATTCTTACTCATTTCTCAGAAGTACAACCTTTCATTTCATTGAATCTTTTTTCTATTCTATTTCTATTTGCTTATTTTTGTAGTTGTTTCTGTCTAATTGATGTAATCATTGGGTTTGAATATTTCTTCCTATCTACTCTTTTAAGGTATTATTTAATTTTAGAGAGCATTCGAGTGTACTAGTAAGTTATTAATATGAGATTTCTCTGGTTTCTTGATAGAGGCCCTTAGTGCTATGAACTTCCATCTTAGAACTGTTTTCATTGTGTCCCTTAGGTTTAGGTATGTTGTGATTCCATTTTCATCCAATTCTAATGCTTTTAATTTTCTTCTTGATTTTTATCATTCAGCAGTGAGTTATTCATTTTCCACGGTTTTTTATGCTCTGCTTTTTCTTTTAATTATTGTTATCCATTGTTAGTCCTTGATGGTTAGAAAGGATACAGTATGATATTTTAGTTTTCCTTTATCTGTTCATGTTTGCTTTTTCCTGCTATGTGGTCAGTTTTAGAGAAAGCTCTGTGCAGTACTAAAAAGAAAGTATATTGTTTAGGAATTTGGTGAATGGCGATGTGTTTTAGTTATTTGACTTATGGCTTTATTTAACTCCAGAATTTCTTTGTTTAGTTTTTGTCTGGATATCCTGTCCTTTGGCCTGAATGGAGTACTGAGGTCTCCACTGTCTCTTTGTTAGGGTCAATATATAGTTTTAGTCTGTGCTCTTGTGTTTCGTGCATAAATATTTAGAATTATAATATCATCGTGGTGAATTTTTCTTTGAAAAATTTTATCTGAGGAGTTTCTTTTCTGGTCCTATCTATTTTGTGTTTTGTATGTCTCTTGTACCTTGATAAGCCTCTCATTCTTCAGGTTCTGGAAAATTTTTGTACATGATTTTGTTAAAAATATTTTCTGAGACTCAGTGGTTGGCTCTTTGATCACCTCCCCCTGAGTGGGGAGCAGTTGCCAGGCCACAGAGGAAGACAGTTGGCAGCTAGTACTGATGAGACCTGATAGGCTAGGGTCAGAGGGAATGGGAAGAGTACCTCCCCTATCAGTGGACTTGGGGAGGGGCATAGGAGGAGAGGAAGGAGGGAGGGTGGGATTCAGAGGAGATACTGAAGGGGCTACAGCTGGGATACAAAGTGAATAAACTGTAATTAATAAAAAAATTAATTAAAAATATTTTCTGAGTTTCTTTTATCCCTTTTATTCATAGGTTTGTTCTTTTCATGGTCATCCAGGTTTCTTGGATTTTCTCCCTGAAAATTTTTATATTTAACATTTTCTTTGAGTAAGCTACCCATTTCAAGACCTGAAATCCTCACATCTGTCTTTTAGTCTGTTTGTGAGGCTTATCTTGAAACTTACAGCCTCAATTTTTCACTTAGAGTTTGATTTCTGTTTGTGGCTTTGTGTGTGTG